TGAGGAGTACGCTCAAAGAAATCTTACAAAATCAAAAAGGATACACTGAAATATCAAAATAGCATTGTAAAATACGGTTAAAGATATGTCTAATTCAATAGAACCAAAAAACAGAGGATATGTGCATTTGTTACTAAGAGATTCCAAAAAGGGTATTCTGAGATTGATCGTATAGATTGAAGTTCTATAGAAATGTACATCATAGGCCTAATCAACATGATTCATTACCTTTAATCTGTTGGCGAGAAAGCAACTGTATGAATGGAAGAGAGCTATAATTACATTAAATTTCAAGTCTACAGCTATCATTATTGATGATTTTTGCAAGAATACTCTTACTTTGATAGAATATTACTTACATATGTTAAAATCTAAGACTAACGGTGGATATTATTTTGTTGTGTTTCTCGAAAGAATTTTTAGATGATGTGATAGACACTTCTTTATTTGCATATTGTATCTAATTCAGTCATTTATAGAGAGGAAAAAATTTTAAATTTATCAGCGCGAGCGGTACTAAAACCAACTAGACAGGTGGTTTAATATTATATGACAAATTTATGAAACATCAGTGAGTTCAACACTACAGTAAATGTTTATATTAAAATATGTCAATTAATAGCTGATTAAATATAACTTACTTCACCATGAACACTTCCAGAATCTTTTCGTTTTATCATTAGATAACAATAATGATAAATGAGTCTTTAATATCATAAACACATACAAAAAGTATGTTGAACAAGCGATTAACAATTATAAATATTTTTTTTTTAGTAGATGTGTAAACTATTCTATATTCTCAGCAGCCTCAGCAAATTCGACATAAAAAAAAAATAGAAAAAAACAGAAGAGAAAAAGAAATCTAAACAGTCTGTGCGTGTCTGTGTGTTCATATCATTGTAAATGAAATAAGACAAATATAGAGTTGTTTTTCTTTTTTGTTACATTGCTATGTACTACATTCACTTAATTGATGGTTTTGATTGCAAATACGTGAAGAGAAAAAACTAAGAGAGAAAAAGAGACAATACGCCCCTTAAGAGAGGAATGACAGAATAAAAAAGGAAGAACACAATTGAACATATGGCTATAGAGTTAGATTAGTGCTAATATTACAATTTATATCAAGGACGACATTGAACTTAAAATAGGAATCGACAGCATTTAGAGAAAATCTTTTTTATATCATTAACACTTCTATTAGAAAAGTTCAACATGTCCACACGCACTATTCACGTCTTGTTGTTTATTGTTTATTTTATTCTATGTAGTCTCGTAATTAAATTGAGATATGGAGGAAAAAAGATCTAGCAAAGAAAATAGCAGATAGAAGACGAGAGCGATTAGATTGCTATTTAAAATTATAATCTGTTTTGATGTAAATGGCACAAATTTTAAGAAACAGAGTACGAATGAGTCAGACCATGAAAGAAATATTGAAGTCATAATCTCATACATATATATATATCATTAGGGAATAGCGTACATTGGTAATTTTAGATATCAACAAGATAATAGAGAGAGTATATTAATATGTATCTCAGACTATTTTTTGGTGCAAATTTAATCAAAAATATCATTGTGATTTATCAAACATGTAACTAAAAACCTAAATCTTCAACAATAGACTGAATAATCTTAAGTTTATTACATATCTTTAAACCCCTTCAGTAGAGCTCTGCAAGCTAAACCTAATCTATAGGTTAGGTTAGGTTTAGATTACGATTTCTATAAGGTAGGGTATGTTTAGGTTATGAAAGTTGTATAGGTTAGGTTGTAGATTACGCCGTTGATAAACTATTTTTAACCTAAACGAAAAAGCCAATTTTGAACGATCACATTAAAACAACCACCACTTTGAGTAATAAAGCGTTGTCCACGTGGAATTTTATCGATCGAAGATGAAGTTCAGGCTGAGGTTCTCTAGTTTAAACTGAGCTATTTTTAACCTGAAAAATAGCACAATTAAAAAAAGGAAGTTCAGAGAAAAAACTTCCGTTTGCTAAAAGTAGATGGCAAATACACAACAATAACAGGATCTTCGTAGCATCGAGAGCCTAAAGTGAAATTCTGGTCTACTCTTAAGAGGGTCTCTCTATTCAGAAAGCTATTTTCAAAAGATTGGATTAAAGAATAAAAGATTCAACTGATACATTTCTATATTCATTTAAAATGTGATTTATTTTGTATAAGCTTACCTTTCAGACGGTGTTTAGATAAAAAACAATAACGATATGGAAGAAAGCTGAAGTTTAGGCTACTGAAACCAGGTTTTGGGAAAAAATTGCAAAAGGTTGTATTAGGTTAACCTAGATTAGATTAGGTTTAGGTTACGAGTTTCGTAGGCTAGGTTAGGTTTAGATTGTGAAAATTTTTATAGGTTAGATTATAGGCTGTCAACGAGTCATAACCTGCAGGGCTCTGCCCTCCGGTGCTACACTGTGAAAAAAAGGTCAGACGCATTAAAAGCGATCTCATTTTTTATCAGTAAGATGGAATTTCCATGTAAAGGACGCGTCACCATGCCTTACGAAGGTACCTGAATTCCAGTTGTATGTACTCGTAGTGTTTGTTTGAGGCATTGTGGATGTTTAGTCAAGGCATTTTAAAATGCATTCTTTCATGTAAAGTAGGTGCATTTTTGACGCATAAAGTAGGGCATCCTGTCCTTAAAGCATCCAGGATGCATTGGATACACTGAGATGTCATGCGAAAGCGGGCCACCACGAAAAACGTGTGAAGAAAAGACGAATAAGTCTAGCTAGAGGATAGAAAGAATGTTAGCTTCTCTTCTTGGATATAGATGGATTACGAAAAAAGGACTCAATTTCTTGTTAGTTATGAGATTTTTAACTTCCAAATATATCTGAGTGTATGTATTGGAACAGCGAATGGCCAAAATACCGTTTTTACCTTGGTTTGTGAAGCACCTGGACAGTCAGAATCATCAGATTTCGTTCACTTCAAAAATATGATAAAATGAAAGCACTTTGTCAGTGAATAACTACTTTGATGTTGGTATGTTGAGATCTTTTCCCCCCTGATGATAAAAAATGTATAAAATGTTTGATCTTACGGTGCCCTCTCATACAGAAAAGGTCATAATGGTGATCAATATACAATGTTTAAATCAATATATCTAGACAAGATTTGGCTGCATTTTTAACTCGATTTAGTATTTCATAATCTCATTTCAACTTTGTTTCGTTGCAAAATATATTTTCTTTCAAATAATATGATATAAAGACCAAAACCCTTTTTTGAGTTGAAATGAGATAGGAAATCTAAAGCGAGCTAAAAATGCAGCCAAATCTTGTCTAGATATATTGATTTAAACATTGTATATTGATCAACATTATGACCTTTTCTGTATGAGAGGGCACCGTATGATCAAACATTTCATACATTTTTTATCATTAGAACACTCTAAAAAAAGGTCATGAATTAATAAACTGCAATAAAAGAGTTTTTTGGCCTAAAAAACTGTTAAAAAGCTCTTTTGGATTTTTGATCAGTTTTTTAGTCTAAAAAAACTCTTTTATTGTAGTTTATTAATCCACGACCTTTTTTTAGAGTGAAGGAAAAAGATCTCAACATACCAACATCAAATTTTATCATATTTTTGAAGTGAGCGAAATTTGATGATTTCTGATCAAGTTCTTTCATTAATCGATCTATTTGATTTGAGCGAATCGAACGTAATTAAATAAACTTGAAAACGCTTTCGTTTTCCTACCGTAGTCATCGAAAGATAGTAAGTTGATATTAAATCGTCAACTTATCGTTCTAATAAGTTGACGACCGATTTGTTTGGCTAAATATTCTGTGGATGTGAGAGAATCATAAAGTTCATCAATAATAATAATACTCTCCTTTTTTCGACGATTAAGTAATCCTAATTAATCGTTAAGTAGTCTAAAAACTATCACGATATGACGAACATTGTATATATCAGAAAGGTTTACAACACATGATTGATTCTGTGTAATGCAGAAGAGCCATTACTTTTACCTTCGTTGATGCGGTAAACTCGCTATTCATTCATTCTTTTAACAAAAAAATATCGATATTCAAATAAAAATAATCTGTAAAAAAGAACCAACAAAACAGATTTATACAATGAATTCTAATAAATTCATCATTATTTTTATTCAGCACTGTTAATAATCATTCACAAACGGCATCGAGCGCCAAGCTCACAAAATCTGTGCCTAGACGCGTCCTTGTCAAATAATCTCATTTATCGAAAAATATAATACACAAAAGAAAACACCGGCAGCAAGAGATCTCAACAACAATAATGGAAGAACGTATACTATTTTTAAAAAGAACAGACGCTGTGCTACACTTCTTCTTTATGCTGCCGTCTCGCTGATTTTAATTGTATCAATTCTCTTGTCAACTCATCTATCGTTCGATGTGATAATATCATTAGTGTCGTCATGATGGTATCATCGAAGTTTAAACAGAACCTAATGCTGTCCATGACGGAACCCTGTTCTGGAATAATCCACTGCTAGAACGAACCACAGTACATTTGTCAGAGTCATTATTTCCGGGATGCTCTTGATCTCATCGACGTCCCTAAAACTTTTATCTCTTTAAGCACGTGAAAATAAATATCGTAGTAGCTTCTATAAATAGGTCTTTTCAGTGTAAAACGATACTAGCTACTTATATAAAATCCATAAAGATTCTAACTTGATTGCTTAAAATTCTTTGATTTCAATAGAAAAAAGGAATACTTTTCACACTACGGAAATAACTCGAATATCGAAAAACTCTTACGATAATAAGTATGGATCATCTAAGTGTATCTGAATATGTCGGTTTTAGAATCAGATATTGAACCGTTTATGTAGAAATACCGAGAGATTGGGTTAAAGTTTGCTGAACTTGTTCGAATAATCACACATCTCATGCTTCTTTAACGATGATGATCCATTCACAGGTACGTCTGAAATATATTTTTATTTTAAACCTAACAAATGCCTTTCTTACACGACAACCGCTGTTATTGTATTCTTCACTTTTCTGCCTAAATCTTCGATCATTATATCGTCAACTGGTTTTACTTTTCTCACACGATCGGGCCGAATTACTCTGACATAATATACACTGCTTAGTACTATACCTATAAATACAACACCACCAGCAATACTTGAAGCGACAATCACAACATAATTTGTTGTTGATGCTGGAGTAGAAGTTGTTGAAGGTGAAGTAGAATTATTTTGTGTTAATGGACTTGTACTGTCAGATGTTATGATGAACGTTTGATTATATGAATAGGGAGTAGAAGTTTGTTCTGGATATAATGTGAACTCGGTATTTGTCGTTGTGTCTGTTTCTTGTCCGGAAATATATGAGAACGTATCAGTTGGTGTTTCTTCTATCATGTGTAAACTGGACATCATTTGTGTGGAATGGTCTTGAAATGGAGTGTCATCGTGGGATATCAAACTGTTTTCTTGACTCGTAAGCGAAATAGTGGAGTCTTGACTCGTAACTGAAGTCGAAAACAGTATGACTAGGTACAATGACAAGGAATGAACTTCTAACTCTGAAATAGAACAACAAAATATTCCATTTAGTTTTAATATAGTCTCAATTAATCTCTTACTTTATTTTTACAAAATCTTTTTCTAACTGATACATTACCCAGGCAAGCCTTTTTTGAGTCAACGTGCGTTGAAACGCGTTAGTTTGGACAGGTAACGCATTTTTACGCATTTTTGATGAAAATGAACGCGTTAGTGTACTATAAACGCATCGAAACGCGTTCGAGAAAACGGATGCGTTAATTACGAACGCGTTAAGCTGCATTAATTACCAACGCGTTTAGCAGAACCATTATTTGGTAATCTAACGCGTTTTTATGCGTTATTTTCTGCTGCGTTTTAATTTTTTGCAAAGTATATCATAAAAGATGAAGCTAACTTACCATTTGACTTTAAAATCTTCTTCTGACATAGAATAACCGAAACAGTACGGATACAAAAAAAGAAAATAACAATGCGACCTGCATTAGCAGATTTATTCACGTTCAACAGCTAGACGAATGACAGAGTAGAAACATCCTGTCTCAAAAAAGTAACTTACATCTGGTGAGTTTCTCAATAAAATGCAACTCAGTATCAGAGTTCACTTTTAAATAGAAGAATGAGGTACCGACTTATCGACCTAACAGACAGACTATTCCATTTCTCGCACACACATAGTTAGGTATAGGAAAAGAGATCATTGTCTGCGAAATTACTTTATTCTGAGCGAAAAGATTTATTTACTTTGTAAATGAAACTTAGAAGGCATAGAATAAAGAAGCAAACACTGTCTTTTGTCTGACTGAGATGATCGAAAGACATATCATTGTTACTATATATGTTTCGATCGTCTGTTAGCTCAGATGGTTATGTGTTTGCTTCTTAATTCTAGATACCCACGTTCGAATCACACTGAAGTCATGTAAGTACAAGTTGTTTTCTTTCTCTATTTCGTCACTCTACTGAGTTATATAGTCGTTTGTATGCATATCTATGCATCCAGACATGTACCGGGAATTTAATCGGATGCTGAATTTTATTTTTTTTTCATTTTAATTGATTTTCAACGAATACAAACGCGTTAAAAACTAACGCGTTTCAACGGTCAAAATGCATCCTGTTAAACGCGTTAGAAATTAACGCACATCAACGCGTTGTTTTGCCAGAAAAAGTTTGCCTGGGTACAGTGATGGCTAAGCGCAATTTCAACTCCTTCTCAATTCCTACAAGAATCTTTTGTCTTATTTGGTTTTCATCTCTTTTATTTTATTAAAATTTGTATCGCTTTTGTTTATAAGAGTTCGCACAAAAAAAGTCATTTCAACACCTCCAAATTGCATTTAACAGTGTTACTTTTGAAAGAGTACATATTGTCACGCTACATTGGTGAGAATGAAAAAGAAAACCAAGATGAGAAAACATCTTCTCTACCAACGTTGTCTTTATAACGAAAAAATCTAATATGATGTAATAAAAACGCAAAAAAATGTTGTGAAAATTTCAGCTAAAGCTGCAGAATTGGAGTTGAAAAAATCTGCACTTCCCTTAAGCCTAGATCAATGAGACCGCAACTTCAATTTCAATAAAAAGAAGTCCAAAGTGCTAAATCTCTGTTCTAATAAGCTCGATCCGCTGTGGTACTGTGATTATTTCTAACTTTTTCTAGACCAGAAATATCATTTACTTCCATTTACACTGTAAAAAATAAAGTGTGTTACTAGGTGCGTAAATCTTCTAAACGTTCACTCGACATCAAAAAGTGGGTACTTTCTCTAGATGGTCAAACTCAGTGTGTAAAGAGCTAAATGTGTTAAAAAGATTTATTTTCCAGATTTCCCGTTTTCGAAGATTTATTTTCGAAGATCCCGTTTTCTGGATAACCAGTTTTTCAAGAACTCTAAAATAACTAAAATCTTTTTTAACGAGGTATAGTTGCAGTGCGCAAATTTCTGATTAAAATGAGACATCTCCCAGTTCTACATGGCCTTTCTTTACAAAGTTATAGAATTTACAAGAAAAGCCCTAAATGTTCATTGTCAGCTCAAACCTACAGAAGTAAGAAGCAAAAAAAATTAATTTAGGACTTTTCTTGTAAATTCTATAACTTTGTAAAGAAAGGTCATGCAGAACTGGAAGATGTCTCATTTTAATCAGAAATTTGCGCACTACAATTATACCTCGTTAAGAAAAGTTTCGGCTATGTTTTAGAGTTTCTGAAAAACTGGTTATCCAGAAAATGGGATCTTCGAAGGGCCATGGGAAACATCCATAGCCATATTCGTGATCGATCACCTATAATTAATTCACTAGATTTCAATCAAAAAGCGATTTACCACCTCGGATGGTTCCCTCGTCAGTGTGTAGAGCCAAACAGTCATTTCTCAGTGTATACTTTGCACACCTACGCCGTGCATTCTAGACGGTCACTGGGAATCGACTTGGCGTTCACTTTATGTGTGTCATTTACACACGTTATTTTCTACAGTGTACTGTGAGTCTATATTCTTTCATGCCTTTTATTTTCAGAGTTTCAATACATACCAATCATGATCCTTGATTTTATAAATTAACTTTTAGGAAGAGTAGATATATGAGGAGAACAGTATATCGCTTACGATGATTATCTCTTCTCTTTTTGGTTGTCTACTCAATGTTTTCTGTATCCAAAACACCCACTTATGACTGTTTTTTATTTGAGTAGATAACAAAGTAATCAAACAGATGACATGTGCCCATAAGACACCTTTTTTTACAAAAGAAATTTTATATCGGAGTAAACCATTTTCATTCGTGGAGGCTAGCTTAAGTGTATGACAAATATCTTCCTCTTCTATAAACGTTGTTATTCAACTTTACACAGATCAATATGAAAACTTGAAGAAGTTTATAATGGTTCTCCTCTTTGTAACCAGACGAACGACTCTGTACTAATACTTTTTGCAACAATTAATCACCATTCACATTACTCATATCTTCTCGGCTGGATTATTACAATATCTTCAATCACGTTGAAATGTATCAGGATTAGACATCGTCGGAACCAGCATTTTTTGGTTCTGATTTCATGAGATTTTTTTCGTTCCAGTGCGATTCGTTGTCAAAAAACTTTTTTTCTTGAAAATTGTCTGTAGGTAGATCCGCACAAGTGGTAACGTGTTTTGACTACCTCAATCCCTCTAATAAAAGGCTATCTGTAAAATAATGAAAATTTGACATTAGAATGTTCGGCTCTTTCATTTCTTTCAATTTATCTAGTATTTTCCATTCATATGCTTGGAAAAAATGACTCATCCTGTTTGTCTACTCACTTCCGTTTTTTTGAGTGTAGAAAGATACCTTTTCATCTTTCGGTTATAACTTACTCTCAGACTCTCTCTACACGGTTGGTTATCGTTTACACAAATTTTGGTTCCTTGAACCAGTCCCTAAATTATATCCGCATTTGTGGATAATTCAACAATTAAGGTCAGTTCTGGTCACCAAGTAGGGATTTTAATTTAGGGATTTTTCAATTTAGGGATTTTTCAATTTAGGGATTTTTTTAATATAAGATAAATCACATATACAGTAATTCAATACCATCCTAGTACTCATACCATACTGAATACCTGTTATTCATTAGTTTTACCACACAAATGGAAAATTTTACTGTCTGTAGGTCAGTTCGGAATTGTCTTTTATTTATTCTCTATATTTCCTTACATAAAACATGAGCATTGTAAATAAAAGTTATGATAAACTCTTCAGAGAAGACAAATATTTAACTCACAGCCTCACGATAAAATCTTTGAATCTAGTGATCAGATCATGGTGTAAGAACACGTAACATTTGAATGAGATTTGTGTTGTAAAACTAATGAATAACAGGTATTCAGTATGATATGAGTACTAGGATGGTATTGAATTACTGTATATGTGGTTTATCTTATATTAAAAAAATCTCTAAATTGAAAAATCCCTAAATTGAAAAATCCCTAAATTAAAATCCCCACTTGGTGACCAGAACTGACCTTAATTGTTGAATTATCTACAGATGTGGATATAATTTAGGGACTGATTCAGGGAACCAGAATTTGTTGTAAATGATAGGCATTCTTTCTACACTAATGTAATGTTTTATGAGGATGTGTCGTCCGACTGCAAGTTGGAAGAAGTAGAACTGGTTTATTTATGTATATTTTCAGATACATGCAGTAGTCATTCTATGAATATCCTGCCATCCTAAACATATATATTTTTAAAAGTGAAAATAACACACAGGGAAAGAAAGTATGACGTTTTACACTTATAAATTAACTCAGAATTGCCCTGCACTGTAAAAATAAAGTATGCAAATGACCTCCCCAGACAAAGCGAATACCAGATTAATTATTTGGCTGTCTAAAATTTTACTCGTCAGCGTGTAACTTGCACACCTAGATTGACAATATAGTTTAGTTCTCCAAACACTTTCACTAGAGCTGTTTGAAATTATAACGGTTGTTTGAATCTCACGAAAATCTATTAGTTTTCGTTTCTAGTTTTTGACCTACGTTTTAGCTTTGTGAAAATATGCATTTCTAGGCTAATTTCAGTAAATAGTAAAAAATTTATATTTTCATCCAAATGGACGGACCAAAACGATATCAAAAATTTTGACACATGTATGAAAATTATATTTCATATTTGAAAATATTTGTAATAATAGAATATTATCGTTGTCGTTGCTGTACTAATATTCTTCCACTCGAGCTGAAGGTTCGTTCTGACGCTGCTGAACTTGCAGGAATACTTAATAGTGGTTGTGACTGATGATCATTGGCAACAAAGTTGTTTTAGAAAAAGACGTAGGTTCGATCCTGTCCTATGAGCCATAAGACTTAGTCATACTCTGACCTTCAGATCAAGACAGGGCAAGGTCGGCCTGCACATCTCTAATGAAAATTTCAAAGTATATTTAATTTGAGTTAGTCTCAGTGACGCCAGTGTGAAAGAATTGTTTACGCAGACATGATCTTTGGAAAAATACTTTGGTTGCTGGATCCAGTTTTTCTCTACTTTTATATAACCATCTGTTGACTCACAATAAATAGTGAAAACATTTTTAGTAAGGTCTACTTGTAATCTTCTAGCAGACCAATCGTATTCCATCCAAAAGCACAATCTGCTTACGATAGGATCAAAAATATTACAGAGTGTCATACGAATCTATAATTTTTGTGAAGAGAAAAAATATCGGTAGACATGAATTTTTCTAGACATAAATTTATGATCATTTAATATCATCTCATAACAAAAGGAGTTTCACAAAGTATAAATAGACATGACGGTTGTCACTGATAGTTTTTAACCTCAATAGAAACTTTTATCTTTGATCAGGGATGCATACTAAAAACAACTAAAAGGAGACAAATTTCGAGAAAAAGAAGAAATTTTTTGGCTACACTTTTTATCACCACACGTTTTTAAATACAAATGATCACCAATTTGTGATCAGCACCCTTAAGTGTATTCATTTCTCAACCAACATACAATAGAATGTCAAGAAAAACAACTTATTTACAAGTAGAAAGCTGTGCTAATTTTCTTTCCAGAGGAGTGCTTTACCTTCACGTTTCCTAATGATTGAATAGATGTGTGTCTACCACTAACTTGATAAGTTAAATTATCTAACTGCTGTCTTGGTCAGGTATTTATTATTCTTATCAGTGGGTTACGGTTAATGACTTTATGATATGGCAAGAATTCTGTTGGCAAGTAGTTCCGTTCCAGCCCTGCACGTGCCCAGTTGGTGGAATAATATTCGTGTAAGCATTCGGTTGGATTAGCTATTTTATTTAACCTATCAAGCTAGTGATAGACACACATCCATTCAATCATTAGGAAACGTGAGGTAAAATACTCCTCTGCAAAGAAAGTTAGCACAACATTCCCCTTGTAAATAAGCTGTTTTTCTTCACATCCTATTGAAGTCATTAAAGTTTGTAATAACTTGTCAGAAGATGCTCATGAAGCCACTACACCTATAGAATTACTTACAAGTCGTTTAATAATTCGATCCGCTCACTTTAATGATGTTGCTTCACAATTACAATTACAGCTACGAATGTAGATGAAAAAAACGTGCGTATTTCACGTACTCTTTTCAGTTTTTGAGGAAATAACTTCATTGAGTTGAATAATGAATGACTGAATGGGTTTCATTTCCTTACACATGATCGCAAAACAGAGTCACTCTGGTGTAGAGTGATAATTATCTCGATAATTCTAGCAAATCATTAATAAAAGGGAAACAGGAAATGAGATCTCATTTAATCCTTATTCAACTCGAATTCATTCAATGAATTTATTTCCGCAAAAACTGTAAAAAAAGTACACGAAATAAGTGCATTTTTTCATTTATTTAAGTTACATCCTACTTTTATGTTCATTCGCTAACAGTCTACAAACGCCCGATCTTTAATAAGATAATGTTGTTTTTCAGTCTCAACAGAAATTCACAATCGGAGAAAGCTTTGTTTACAACTCTTGAGTATAGCTCTTAAGAGTCTTTATACGCCGTGCTAAATGGTGACATCAAAATGCTGCAAAAGGTCTCCCCCTACCTACCTGTCGATAATTTATCTCATTTATTGCCAGAGAATAAACATCATAGTTAACGCAAACAATGTGCATGCCATTACTTCTCCATTTTCATGACTGTATCACAGTGCGCATTTTTCTAATAGCAGGCGGACATCAGAATTTTTGCTCATAAATTATGTTTTTACCAACAATTATCATTGCTTAGTCATCTCTGATGCTTTTTAAAAAAAATACACGTTTTCAGAAAAAATCAGTTTTTTCGAAAAATCGGTCTTGCTGGTTCATGGGAAAAGATTTCTACCGATAGTTTTTCCATACAAAACTTATTGTATTACACATGATTAGATGTAACTCGACGCGCTGATTGTATATGACCTTACATTTTAAAAATGCTGTCTAAGAAAAGTTTTTACGTGAAAAAACAGAGTTTTTTGGAAACCTATAACTCAACTTAGGTAAATATGCGCATTTTGACGCATTCGCTATAGATATTGGAAATGATGCCAAGCGTTTTGGTATAATTTTAAGTCTGTTTCGAGGGTGCTACACCATGGGAACTTCATTACATACTGCTGAAAGCACCTTTCAGAAACGGTATCAGTTCAGAAAATAATTTTTTTCCTAAATCGTAGGACCCGACTAAAATGTTGTTTTTAGATAATTTAAAGTGTCTAGATTCAGAATATATAGTGTTTTCAAACTTAAATCGATTTAGTCCAATGAAAAAAATGTTTTCTGTAGGAGGTCGCTACTATAGAGACTCTTTTTTGCATATATTTTTTCCTGAAAATTTAGCACTTGGAGAAAATTTTTTATACCATTAGATAGCCCTTAGCCCAGAGTATATTTGAGACTATATGAATTTTGAAAAAGTGCACTGTTGATATTTTACCAAATGTCCGCCTGAATGCTCACTATGTACTTATAAACAGTAGAATTTGCAAGACCGGTATAAGTAAGATAGTTTTCTTGTAATAATACTTATTCTTGTATAGTTGTATGGCTGGTATTTTTTGTAAAAATTACTCTAGTATGAAAAGGCTTTCTAGTTTTATAGTATGTTTAGGAAAAAAAACAGTTGTTCATAACGTCAAGGAATCGGTCATGTTTATTTTAAAACCATTTGCGTCATGGATAGTTCCACTTCTTGGCCAAAATGTTCCACTTCTGAAATTTTTGACATGGAAATCTTCGAAAAATATTTCTCTAAGATAATAATAGACTTTTTGCAATAAAAGTATGAACGATGTTCGAGCACAAATTTTAGTAATAATTAATGTGTATTCTAGAGTGAAAGCGCAAGTATAGGCATATTGCGTTTGCCATTTAAAAAGAGAAAATCGTTTCACAATGACTATATAATTATTACAAGTAATGGAAGAAAATAAAGGTATGATCTCATAATTTCAAGAAGAAAATCGTAATTTCTATAAGAACAATTCTATTTTAATGAAAAAATATTTTTCTTCTTTCGTGTTCTTTCATCACATTGAATGACGTCTTTACTCATGCTTTACCGCTTTAACAGGTTCAGTTATAAAATATTTTTCTTTCTGTTCTACTACACACATGAAAATACTTTGTTGCCACACAATTTTTTTCTAAATAAATCTATAGGTTTATTCGATTCAACAATCTAACCTAGATTCTGTTTGTAATTAACAATTTTTTTTTTATCAAGCTCATTTACCAATGAAAGCTACATTCTACATAATAAATTTGATAGGCAGAAGAAAATCAGTGATCCACTGTAATAGATTATTGAATGATCACGATAAATTTCTTTTTTTTCTATTTTAGGTACTGTCACTTTTTTTTGTCAGAAAATGGGCAACAGATCAGACAAAAATGTAATACCTGTATCCACTGATTTGCCTATTGTTCATCCAGTGTTCTTAGAACGCCCTATTTGGTATTGGAATTCAGATAAAAATCCATGGTCATCCTCTCCTGAATTGTGTAAATGGCAACCCTATTCAGATATTGAAAATGAAATTATTGAAACAGCCTATCAATCATATGAAAAACAAGTGTTACTAGATAATTATATTATAGATCTTGAACATAAAGTTCAAATAGATAAACAAGATGAAAAGAAAACTTGTCCCATAAAACAATTTCTAGTCTCATCTCAAAATGATTTATTACGAACCGAACGATTCTATTTCCCACAGAAATTAGTTCAATCATTTAGTGAGGTGAATTCAAATCGATTCCTTAATGAATGGAAAAATAAAAATCATGGAATCTCATTAAGTGATAAATTAGAACAAGCAGCCGATGGAATTATTAAAGAAGGTAAACAACTTGGACTACAAACAGAGCCCAAATGGATTGCAAAAGAATTGAGAGAGATGAAGGATAAACCAAATGAAGAAATTGAAAAATATCTCATTTCACTTTATACGAAAGAATGTTTTATTTATAAAATCATTAATAAAACATTACGTGAAAATGATCGATCTAAACTAGATACATTGGGCGCTCTCTGTCAGTTACTCTATCACTGTGATTGTTCGTCAACATTTAAACCATACGGTTATAATGGATTACTCTATCGTGGTGCACAACTTGATCAACAAACTATTGATGGTTATATACAGGCAGTAGGCTCGAAAAAAACATGGGATGCTTTTTCATCCACAAGTAAAAAACGTGAAAAAGCAGAAAAATTTGGTAATGTATTATTCATAATTGAACTAAAAAGTTCATCATACCATTTTAGTGGTATGGATATATCGTCGTATTCGTATTATCCTGAAGAAGAAGAAGTTCTAGTGAGAGCAGCAAGAAATTTTATCATTGAAAAAGTAGAACGCGATGATATGACAGGAAAATACTGTATTTATTTATCACTTTGTTAATAATATACGACTACACTTCTTCTCAAAATCCACATGATAATAAAAGTACATGAGCTCTATGTTAGATATTCTCTATTTTTTTTTCATTTTTTTTTTAAATCTATTATGGATTTTAAACATAAATTTTCGTTGACTTTTAATATTTGAAAAGAGAGAAAATATCTGTTGTCTAAAATGTTATTTACACAGTAACTATTTGAATTATCATAATTTTCTAGCTTTCTATTCGAACTGTATTGGTCAGATAAAATGATAAAAATCTTCTGTTTAATATTTCTTGCTATATGTTAAAACTTTTATAAATTCGGAGTCGACTAATCATTCTCATTATTGGCACGGGTATAGAATATGATCTATGGAAGATGAATCACTTTTAAAGACCAATATATATATATATATTTGTCATGTGTCTTCATTTGTTTTAAACTCGATTGAATTAGATCTAAGCCATTTTTGATGTGATCATATTTGAAACCTCACATATGTCTCAATATTTGTGATAAAGTGAGAATAATAAATTTTATTGTCAGTTTTATTCAGAAAAAAAAATACGGAAAAATAATGAACCCGCCTAGAATACATATCTAAAACATGGAATAAGACGGATTTGTAGTCCCTTGGATTTATTGAGCATCACTATAAAATCACAACTTGAAAGCGAGTAGCATGTTTTTTAGATAATTGTTACCAGAAAACTAATTGTTTTACTCTAAACATTACATTTACTCATGAAATTTATGCTCTTGAAGTTCAGAAACATGATAATTAGTGTATCGACTAACAATGAATCTATAGTAAGTGATAAATCTACACACAGTGTATTCATGCTCAAAATTTGGATCATATGAATTAGGTGCCTCATCGATCATACTGAGTGGGACATATCAAATTTGCTTTTGATGGTAATTGAGCTTGGTCAGTGAGACGTATTGGACCTAACGCTTGTGTAACGAATGACTGTATCGAAAGAATCACTATACTAATATTCATCTTAACTTCTTCTTACTTCAAGTCTGACAACATCTGCAGTCTATTTATGATCTTCATTGTTTGTATCAATAATCTGAATTTATAATTAATTATAGGATGAGACAATAAAATAGTAGTTACATGATACGTAGTAGTAGATAAATCGCTTTTTCAATCATGAACCAAACGTATTTTCAAAAATACAAAATAAACAAATGCTTTTCACATTCGAAATAAAAATGAACTGTTCAACTTTCTTTTCTAATTTAGAAATGGAGCAATTTCGTTTGATAGAAAAGATAATAAAAATTGAAATAAGATAAATGATTATAGCGTTCCTTTGATATTAACAGTACTCACGTTGATGTTGATCGTCAATAAAAAAAAGTACAGTGTCTAGTGAAAAGACTCCCAAAAACCACTTCTTTCTTTTGTGAACTCTTTATTTTACTCATTTCATTCTTTCTATAATCTCGTACAAACTTGAAGACCATTCAAACGTTACAATGAATACTCTCAATAATTTTATTTACTTTGCCTTTTTTCATTCAGTCGAATTTTCAATCCGCAGTTCATATTAGTCATAATAATTTTGTCTATGACACACTACCGAATCATTGTACTCTTTTTCCATTTCTTCTTTTTATTTTGTCCAACAATTGTTCAAAAGAATTATTCTTATATTCATTAACAAGTCAAAAACATGCAGTAAAGTGACAGATTATTTCGTACCTATTACAATGTTTAAAAAGCAAAAACATCTTTTTAAAATCCAAAAACAATAATGAAATTCTTGTGGTACAGATCAAATAAAATAAATATATTAATAAAAATATGTTTAAGCGAAGTAAAAGAAAACAAATAAATTATATGGTATAAACAGTTGCACAGAAAAACTTGTTTTTCAAGAAAAGATCACTATCGCAACTTTATTGACTCATATCTAACATATTATTAAAATTGGTTCAAATAATCCATAACAAAAATCTTTAGATTGAGAAATGACTCAACAACTTCGCACTTTTGGATATAATAAATGCAAATGACAAAACAATCTTTTAAACTTTCTCTCACTACTATCATTATTCATGCTTTTTTAAAATAATTCTAAAAGAAGAAAAAGTATGTTCTGTATTAAATAGCTATTATCCTATTATAACCTAATATTTGTTAGTAAAACTTTTCATTCTGAGATTTGAAAATTGCGACACGAATAACTCTGTCAAAAAACGCAAAGGCTGACTTGCTAGAGAAAAAAATGATTAATATTTTGATCAAAAAACCACTGCTATGCTGTTTTGCTTTTAAAGCAACATACCCACATCACAAGAAAAATTAGTTTACAACTAAAACATACAAACATATCATGCATAGTGCTATATGAATTCTTGTCCACATCATCTGATCAACTGTATTCATCGATTACAGACCAAAGCAATACATAAAAAACAAAAGATTTATCAAGAATAGCAAAACATCTGTAGTATTTTCTTCATTCATATAGGTACATAGATACAAAATACAAAAAAGGAAATGCACTGTCAGTTTCAGTACAAGGAGAGAAAAATCAATCGAAGCAAAAAATAAGGAATTCACAAGAGAGAGAGAGAGAGAGAGAGAGAGAGAGAGGAAGAAAAGGGAGAGAGAGAGAGGAAGAAGAGAAGGGGGAGAGAGAGGAAGAAGAGAAGGGAGAGAGAGAGGAAGAAGAGAAGGGGGAGAGAGAGAAAGAAGAGAAGGGAGAGAGAGGAAGAAGAGAAGGGGGAGAGAGAGAAAGAAGAGAAGGGAGAGAGAGAATTAAGGAGCACGCTAGTTGCATTGATAACTTCCTTAGTTGCTCACTTTTCTAATAAGTACTCATAAAAATACATTGCACCATAACATAACGTCGATATTAAATGTATAGTACTGGAGATAGAAAAGAAAGAAACATAACACAGTTATAAGATGTGTTTTGTCAAAAAACGAACACAACAGGTAAAAATATACCTAGTGGAAAAAAACAGTTAGTGGTATTTAAAATTATATTGATACAACAAAATCGAAACAAAATAAGAAAGAAAGAAAGACAATCTGGCTTGTCAATCTGATTTGTCATTTATCTTGACATTTATTCATCTAAGATAATAGATATACTTTATCATCAATATAATATAAATTTAAATGCAATTGCCATGGTTTTGGACAGAAATTGGGATCTATTAAAATTTCATAGGTTTTTAATGTGCGACGATTTAATAATTGAATTTGATTTTTATCACAATTGATTAATAAATCAACGGTATCTTGCTCACATAAATTACCGTCGTATGATCCATAAGAACCATCGTGACGTTGGCCATTGAGATAGACACATGGTTTCGATGCTGCCCAACCATATGCTGTAGGTGAATGAAATGAATCCAATTGCATTTGAGTTTGTGAACTAAATGTAAATATATTTTATCTATTTTAATAGTTTAGATGCAGAAAAAAATGTCAATTACCTCGATATAATACCTATAAATATCCAATAATTATTTCTCATTTTTTCAATTTTTAATTGAACACGATGAATACCATACGAATACAATTTTGCACCACGAATTTCTGAATGTGATGAACCATTGCCATCATGTATGACTGATTTTCCGTCTTGTTCAATTTTAACACCGCCAAATATTTTTGAAAATTTTTCCGGTGTCAATTGTTCTTGCTCAAAACCCAATTGTCTGATCAATTTTCTAGAAGTAGAGTTGATAAAACGATTATTTCTCAAAATTTATAAACTGAATAAATATTCTACAAATCGCTAGCCCAAAGTAAATTAAAAAAATAAAAAAGCGTTTAATAGTGATGTTCAGATATAGCCGAGAGATGATAATTACTTAAAAATAGATGTGTAGAAAAATGATATAATAATACTGACTAAAAAATAAAAATGATCTGAAAACTCAGAACGAAAACTCTTGGAATAATGTTTAGATGAGTAGTAGCACTTCATTTCTATGTAAAAATTTCTGCGAGCCCACTTCTAGTTACCAAATACTAATGTAAAATCTTCTCGTTGCTTTTGAAATATTAAGTGGTTATGTAATGATCACGACACTGTTACAGGCGTTTTCATCATCAATGTGTTGGCGAGATAATTCAAAAGCAGAAAATTCATTTGCCAACACTGGCGCCGGCACAATTTCAATATTCGATTTCAACATCATAGAACCTTGAAATTGAAATAAAACTGCTGCTGGGCTGCAATCAAATTGATCTGTAACCAACTTGATTGTAGAAAAATCAGTTTTTTCTTTGTTTAAACATCTATTTTTCTAAGATAAATATCTTCTCTTTTTTCAAAATGATACAATAAAATAAAATAAAATAAACCTAATTTAAATATGCTAAAGTTAATTAGTGGAAGTTAACCGATGCGGAAGTTTTTGGGACGTCTCTTACACGAGGCTCACAAATTGGTGCCAATTCTCATACTTAAAATATCATCACTCACTAAGGATAAAAGTAGAGAACTAAAACGTTACAAGTAATATCTGCACAAAATATCGAGCCATGTAGCATTATGATTTGAGAGTTATACGAATGACATTATTTTGAAACAATACGATGTTCATTGATATCTATGACAAATTTCATATTTTCAAGTGAGAGAAATTTCATATCTCAACTAGAGAGTTTCTACAAACACAGCGTATCTACACGAGAGATCCACACGGGCCGAAAATTCCAAGCCCGGCCCGGTCCGATGAAAGAAGTTTCCAGACCAAGCCCAGTTCGGACTGACCGGAGATTAAATATATCTGGACCGCCTAAACACTCTTGAAAATTTTCTTGATAAAATGGCCTTCTTATGTTACCCAAAAAAATCCTTGATACGACCCAGCAAAAATAGTTTTCGATCCGAGCGCTCTACAAAATGTTGTAACGCGCCCCGTGCTAATCTACACAACTAACCTGAATATCTCCTTTTCTGCCTATATCGTCATGATACTTATTCCTCCTTAATCTATGTCAGACACCTATTCTACTACAGAACAGATGTAACAAGTTATGAACATCACTATTAACGGCTCAGTTAAATAAACTGCACGCAAAAAGTTGTTTTTAGAAGCTTGTGCTTACGATCATAAGTGAAGATTACGGTTATTTTCTTTTTCTGTCTGTCTGACTTTAGAGAAATGAATGGTTTCACACATTCTTCGACTAGAATTTAAGGAAAATGAGCGTGTGCAAGTTTAACAAAGAGGTCGTCGAAGAGAAATTCGGAACATATATAACTTACGCAAATTGTACTTCTAAACCAACAGGCATGTCAAAAACAATTTTATCTTTTTCATTCACCAATTGTTTACCGTTCCATTCGCGTAATTGATTTAACAACAACTTAAACAATTGAGGATCATAGTCCAAGAATACCTACATAAATAAAAAACAACAAGTACAACAAGAGTAACACACCATCCATTAGAGTTACTTACATATCCATCTTTATCTTTTAAAATTTTTTCTTCCCATCTACCACTAAATATCATTGACAACACAGTACTAGGTATTTGTATTAACGTTGAACGTAATGTACACATTTTTTCTCCGCCCACATTGAGATAGATGATATCATTATCACTGACTTGAAATTTTTTCATTTGTTGTAGTTCATTCTCATATTTCGAACGTTCACGATCGAAACATTTCTTGTCTTTTAAAAATGATGATTTATCAGCGTCAAATTGAAGTTTTTCCGCTTCAAATTGCTCAACAACAATTTGAAATTGATCGCGCACTGAATTCATTTGATTTTGTAATAGTACAATCGATTCACTTAGATTGGAGGCCATTTAGTACATGAAAAGTTATAAATCAGGTCAAGAACAATCTGAAATACGACAACAAATCGAAAATTTTTCGATGTACTCCCCTGTTAAGTAAGATTTATAGTATACAGCATACAAAAAAGCTTCTAAATTTTTTATTCAGAATAAATATCAAAGTTTATAATGGCTCAAGCAAGAACAAAATGAGCTTTCACTCTAATTTACGTACAAAACGCGGAGAATGCGGACCGGTATTTTTAATGACAAAATGCACATGCATTTAGAAATTTTTAAAAACCACTTTGTCTTTTTTCACAACAGCAAACTGTATGCATACTTTGTAGAGAATAATGCTCTTTTATGAAGTTCCAAAAAAAACAAAATGCATACGTGTATTTTAACTGAAAAACCGAGTGCTCTGCAAAAAATTCTGATTGAAATCACTGATCCGGACATAAACTCGTTAAGTTTTTCAGTCACACTGTTAGTTCTTATTGATTCATGCAATAGACTGAATCGAAGAGAAAGGAGCTCTCCGTTAAGTGCAAAATGTTGTATTTCATCATTTTTCTTTTTGCGTCGCAATAAGTTCGAAGGTTGTTTTCTGTTATTAAATACTTCTTATCTTTTCCAGAAGAAGAGAAGAAAAAAAAAGAAAAAAATAGAAAAATTCTGATTGGTTTCCTAAATAGGCATAGTCAACTGCCTCATGTCTTCATAGTTGTACCTTCTCATACATCTCGAAGTTTTTCAATGTATCGTTTTATAATCATCAACTATCGATAAGGTACAGGTACATACCTTATTTCTGAAAGGAGCCAAAAACACTTCTTAGTGAGCGACATGTATGTGTCGCTCATGAGTAAAATTATATTAGTCACCCATGTATGGGGTGATAATAGGGTGTAAAAACAAAGTAAAATAAAAATAAAACGGAAAATTAAATAAATATTTTTGCATTGTTTTTCTTTAAATTTACAAGTAACGGTCATTATTCTAATTCGCTTGGCCCTTGACTGTAAGATTCTGTTTCATATGAGTGCACATGACCAGGAATCCCAGATCCAAAACACGAAAATCAGAAAATAAAAGTTCCAAATCAGAAAAAGCTGAGACAAAGACGTAGAAAATCAGAAAAACCAGTAGACCTTATGGCAGAAAAGAGCAGAAACGAGGCAGAAAAAGTTCCAAAAATCAGAAGATCTAGGATCCCTGGACATGATGTTGAAGAGGGCGCTTCCAACGAAAACGTTTTTGAATAAAATTCTACTGTTAAGTCATTTTTTAGTCAAATAATCGACAGAAAGTAATATTTGCAATAAGTGCATGGTGATCATTATTGTTCAGTATAATTCAGTAATTCAGTAGTTGAAATGAACGCTAATGCTGTAGTATTTTGAAGTAACGCTTTTACACTTGTTGTATAGAGTTATCATTGATGAATCGCTAAGTTGTGTGAATTCGAATTTTCTTAGCTATTCAAATAGATATTGGCGAGACAAAACTTAAATGGCTATTGTGATCGAATTTTGATAACGTTTCCAAGTCAACTTTCTTGACCAAGTTAACTTTATCTGTAGCACGGTGGCGGTTCTCTCACCGTAATGGCTAAAAAGTAGTGGTCATCGCGGCGAGCTCTTATTTTTGAAAAAATTTCTAATTTTTGATCGCGCTTGAATCATGAAGTCGCGCGTTATTCGCTATAGTGATTTGTGGTAAGACGAGTTTATTTAAGTTTTAAAATCATGGCGTGGTTGCGGTTTTCGTTTACAGTGGAAACATGACATAGAGTAGCTGCGGGACTTCTGTGACAAATGTCACCGTCATCAAATTTTTCAATTCATTGATTAATAAAGTGAGAGTTGCTTTTGTTCCACTTGACGGCATAAATAATTAAAACGGTGCAACCTTACACCGATTGTATAGCATGGATTGTGTCAACTTGGTTGAATTGTGATAGCTAGAATTTGAATGAACTATGAACAAATAGTTCGTAGCAATAAAATAACACTGGAGGACAATAAACAAAAATGCTGGATATGTGCTGCCAATAAAGTTAGTGCACTGGGATATGCTGAGCATTCTGCAATGGATTGTCGAAAAACATGGTTGAACTATTCTTCATCAGTAAAAGATAGAGTCACTTATTTACAGTTGATATAGATAATGGCATAAGAAGAACTGAAACTAAGATAATCTACTATATTGAGACGTATGGATGGAGAAACGGTAGTTCACTTTGTCGTTAAAACAACGTTCGTTAATTTATCACTAAAAGTTTCAGTTCTCGATATAGTGGAGGTTAGTCCTTTAACTTAGCGAGTACGCGGAGCAGTCAACAAAACGAAAGTTAAATTTAAAAGAAATAGAAGAAACGAAACAAAGAAAAATGAAACGTGTAGACGAATACAAAGGCATGATCAGAGAACTGAGGAATATTCATTCTGTGAACAGACTTTGAAAGCTCTATTAGACGCTATAGTAAGAAAGATAATAGAAGAAAGTAATTATTTATTATTTATTAATTTAATACAAGGTGTTTCCAGGGAACAAAACGAAAAATAAGTCATAATCGAAAGTAAATTTCGATTCTTTTGTCATTCTTGTCACTTTTCAACTTAAAAGGAACATCTCTTGTCTGCTTCTTCTTCTCTCTCTCACATTTATAGAGAGAAAATTCATCCGATTAATCTTCAAATTCAAATCACTTCTTCTTCTCTCACATTCAAAGAAGGAGGACTGCCATACTGCCATAATCTCCGTTTGCACATTCTCTTCTTCACTCCTTCTCCTCACCAACATTATCAACTGTTCAACAGCATTCAGTTATCAACATTTAGTTATTACTGTTCTCCATTAATTGAAGAAGAACAGACTTTCATTACTGTTAAAATTATTTGTATTAGTAATTCGTTGGTAATAAACTGTTGATTTGTAGTGATTTTGAACTGGGATTATTTTGTGAGCAGTTAGTACAAGGGCACCAGAGCCCTGCAGGTTGCCAATATTTGGCAACCTATAACCTAACCTATAAAAAATTTCACAACCTAATCCTAACCTAACCTATGAATTCGACAACCTAATCCTAACCTAACCATTGAAAAAAAAA